CTAATTTTTTTTATGAAAAACTTTCCCAAATATTTCCAGTTAGAGCTCGGAATTCGCTCTCGACTGTCGAGCTAGCATTGAAATTACAATGCATTTGAAGTGCTCCGGGCGAAAGAGGCACGGGGATCGGAGTGGAGCCGGGTTCGAGTGGGTGGCAGTTGGAGGACTTGTCCCCTAAACTGGCGCACTTTGCATAAATTTCAACTTGAGGCATTGCACTTACTTGACACATTTCGTTTACCCAGACCAGAGATCTTGCCTCACCTCCGCGCTCACCTCATTCAACTTTGTTGTTTCTCATTCGGAAGAAAAAAAGTTTTGTCTTTTGGTCTCCGACTCTAGCAACAATTTACCGTTAAAAGCTCAACATTGTTACACTGGTTTTTCACTTTTCACTAAGTACCGGGTTTGTGTTACCCATAAAAAAAAGGTGGATATAGAGAATACTGCCGCGGGGAATGAAGAAGAGGATTTGAAGGGAGAGTGGAGGGGATTGCTGAGATCCTTGGATGCGTTGAGTAATCTGCTCAAGTTTTGCCGGCGTCTTTGTGCAACGTGCGAAGTTTGTCACTCCGTCCCGTCAGTGAAATGGGAAATGTGAAATGGCACGGGGAGCAGCAACACTTTATCCGTGCTCAGTGCATCCCACTTTTGTCTCCACTTTCCGTAATCCACTTTCCCGTAGAGACATCAGCATATAGTACACCTGGCGAAGGACTTAGGAATGGTTAAAGGGCGGGGCAGTTGTCGTGTCAACACAAGTTTTGCATTTGGCGATGTGTTTTTCCTCGGTGTGCCCCCATTACTTTTTTTTTTTTGTTTTTTCGCTTGCCCCTCGTACAACTTGTTAAATGAGTTTTCATAGTTTTTCGTGGGCGGAAGTGCACACCCTTTCGCTGTCTCTGTTTGTGGAAAATTAATATTTTCCCTTAGCCCATTTCACTCTTTATAAAGTTCAGACATTGCCACTGGGGTGCATTTGCTTAGCATCAAAGTTTTCTTTTCTGGCGGATTTTTAATAAAATCCCAGGCAGAAGTTACGTTTTCCAAAGAAAAGTTTTCGAAACTTAATGGGAGTTATACTCACCAGAGGGAGTCACAATTTATTAAGAGGGGAACAGCTCAGTAACATGTGTTAACAGCAAAAGGATATAAGTATCATCTGGATAATATTATTGTGCTGGGGGAGAGAACTTCTTTCCCAGTTGTAAAACTTATTGAAACACCCGTAAAAAAGATAATAGAATTTGAACAAAGGGAAATTTGTTTGTTCCGGTCGAGATTAACCAGTAAGCGGGTATTTAATTAACACATTTGTAACCTTTAATCAAGCTAATAGCCTCCGCCGAAACAACATTGGCATCATCGACAATAATTAATCAGTGGAAATATAATAACCGTCATTAAACTAAACAAACACATTGCGCCATTCAGAGTTCGCCACTCGCATAAATTTCAATATTCAACCAGGTACACAACACTTAACCCCTGATGCCCCCAAATCCCCAACCCTCCTCCTCCCCTCCTCGCCACCTGAATACATTTCCAATTAACGGGGGACCACCAGCACCACAGAACTTCCGCTGGCTGGGTATCCAGTTTGGTAAATAATAATACCCGGGCAAATGTTTAATGATATGAAATTAATGCGCAAATATCGGCGGCTTCTTTGCCATTAAAGCGAGTAGTAAATGGGAAACAATTTCCACGAATGGGAGCGGCAGCAGGGAGACTTTTCACAGCTGTGGAGCACCGCCAGGTGAAAATGTAAATGATATGCGATGATATCGGCCTCCAGCTGAGCGGAATAAATTGACTCTTTGACTAGCCGGCGGTTCGGATCTGACAGCTCTCCTTTCACGCAGTTTGAAACATTTGTATTTGTTCAAAAGTCAATTTGAGACCCGAAAATGTATGCCATTGTCGATTTTCATTTGCATGCCACTCACACAACCAGTGGAGATGTGGAAATTAGGGGAGTTTCACAAATGATGTTGTTGCCTGAGATTTTTATGGTCTTGGCCATACACACGCACTTAACGCCTATTTCCTACACCACGAGCACCCAACGAAATATACAATATTTCCCGCAACTTTTCGGGAAAACAGCAACAGATTTGATTTTACTCAGTTACGGTTTCGGTTGCGTTTCGGGGCCCAAAAAATTTTTATTGTCCAGCGGGTGAGACCCACAAAAGCTGGGAATAGCGTCGGAATACGCATGAAATTTGATTTGCTTCATTGAATTGATTTCATTTCATTTGTTTTGATTTGTTTTGCGAAATAGGCAGGAACGCAAATTGGAAACCGGACCCCGGATAGCAAAAACCGGCACCATCTGAATTCGGTGAGTTCTCGAGAGTCGAAATGAATACATTTGCCGTTGAGATTCGAGGCGTGTCGGGGGGTCGGCCACTCGGATTTGGTTGGCAAGGGGGCGTGGCATTGTGGTTTATGCTGATACTGTTGACTGACACGGGGGGCTCTGGCCCTGACTTTTAGTAGTAGTTTATTTAGTTGTGGGAGCGATCAACACTTGCCAGATTGCTTTGGCATTAAAGTGTCAGCAAATATACGGGACTCAGCCCGGCTCTGGAGTGGAATGTTCGGGCTCTGGCATCTAGCAGCTGAATGCCCGGAATGGGGAGAATGGCTCTGTTCCGGCAATGATTTGGCCACATGCGGCTTAATGCCCTCTAAAAGCCTTGACTCCACTCTACACAGAGAAAATCTATAAAGCCAATAAGCGTATTGAAATAAAATTTATGGTCTAAATAAAAAAAATATAAATAATTTTTAAATATAAATATAAAAACATATTTGAAATAACTATTACATTTTATTTAGTCACTTTACAGATTAGAAATCCTTTAAAATATCACGCTCTGATTAATGTACGTTTTTTATTTCTGGTAACTAAATCAATAAAATAAATTACAATGTTCTAAAGCTTTATTTCCGGTGTAGCAATGGGTCTAGGGTCGATGAAATAGCAGGGCAAGGAGGAAAAACCTGCCTCTCAATTGAACCCTTTCTGTCTGCCTGTCAACGGCGGATGGTAAGGGCTCTTAAAACGTAGCCAAACTATAAATTGGGCAGTTATTTGGGCCGAGTCGGCTATCTTGGATACATTTTATTGGGCCAGATCATAAACTCAACTGGCGATGGCTTCCTTCGATTGCTAGTTGATGCCTGATAACTCTTGTCTCGAGAAACAATCGCTTGTTCTCCCTCGAAAATTGTCTCCAAATAGACGACACAAACAACCTCAAACCCACATTGTTCGTTTAACCACTCCCCGGTGAGCTTTTCACGGATCGAATCCTTTCAGGGCAACTTTTCCCAATTGATGACCCAATTAATACGCTGACAACCAACATTTATTTATTGCCATTTCGTGTAGGCAAACTGTCGATGCGCAAGACAACCGAAAAACTTTAAACTTTATGTTCTTGGCTCATCCGTTCTCAATTCCCGATGGGAATCCCAAAACTAATCATTATTGAAAACGTGTGGTGAAAACTTTTGTAATGCGGCCCATTGTGTCACGCCCTTTTCCACTGTCACTCTCTACAAAATAAAAAAACAACAAAATAGAAGGAAACTGAAAAGCAAAAAAGGGAAACAACAAAAAAAAGTCGAAAGTTATAACAAAATAGCTTTGGTCAAATTGTTTTACAAGCCAATTGGGTTTGGTGTCCCTTTTTGGCACTGTCATGTTGCCTTTTCGAAGTCCTGCGGTTCCCAACGCTTCGATTGGCATAGCAAAGTCCCCAAGGCATTTGGCAGAGGAAGTTGCAACGTCCCATCGTTTTCCATTTGCAAATGGGGTTATGCGTGTGGCGAACTTTAAACTAAAGTTCCGACTTCAACAGGGTAAAGGAATCCGTGTTTATGAGAGATAAAATATTGTTCACAGAAATATTTTAGGCATAAAATATTCTTTTAGAACTTTCGATAAAGGAATCCGTGTTTATGAGAGATAAAATATTGTTCACAGAAGTAGTTTAGGCATTGAATATTCTCTTAGATGTTTGTATCCTATATTTAATGTTCAATGTCAATAACAAGGACTATATTATATTAAAGTAATCAAAAGTCAACATTCTGTCTACATTAACAAAATAACTTTTATTGAAAAATAGTCTTCAATTAGAAAATATAGCTTTACCCTGCTTGTTGTATTCCCATTCTTCCGGTTGAAGTTTGTGCTCCCTTCCCTGTTTCTGCCCGGAAGCTTCCTCTCCGGAGGACCTTCGATCCCGACCTGCCTTTTGCCTCGCCTCGGAGGCGGCCAAGGCGGCCCGGTAAGCGGCCTTCTTCGTGTTAGCGTAGTCCTGTTTGGCGGAATGCATCTGCTTAACCAGCATATCTGCCCGCTGACGAGCAGTTTCCACAAGCTGGCTTTTCTCGCACAACTGCTGCTGGGCACCGGAAGCTGATGCCTCTGCTTTTGATACGGCTTCTTCGGCCATTTTTACCGAGTTCTGGAGCAACTGCAACAGCGAGTGGGCCTGCTTGGCGGTGGCAACAGCGGCGTTAAGATGCGTCTAAAAATTAAACAACATTAAACTAGTTTTTATTAAGTAGAAAAAATGGTTACAAATAAGAAAATAATTTAAAACTCGCTCTCTTGAAACCTCTACATTTAACTTAATGATATTTTCTTATATTCTCTTATTTAAGGCTGTCTGGAATTTGTTTTCTAAGACAGTTGCAAAAAATAACTGATTTTAATATTATTTAATTTTTATTATTTTCTACCTGCGAGTTGACCAATGAGTTGCTCTCCTCCTGGACGATGATCTCCGCCTCGTGGACCTCGTCTTGCAGTTGCTCGAGGAGCTGCTCCTTTCCCGCCAGCGCAGCTTCGGCGGCCTTGGCGGCGGCAATAGCCTTCTCGGCCAGCTGTTGCTTCACCTGGCGGGCGGCGGCCAATGCGGCGGGCACCTGGGTGTCCGAGGCCTGCTTGGCCTCCTGGGCGGCCTTCTGAGCGATGTTGGTGGCGGTCTGCTTGGAGTTTCCCGTTTTGCGGTTATCGGACCGATCCAAGGACTGCTGTCTTGGCTGCGACTGTTGGCAATCGGAGGATGGCTGGTAGCTGGCAGAGAATGCGGTCGGGATCAGGAGCAGGTAATAGAGGAGTAGGTGAACCAGGATCAGCGGTGGTGCAATGCGCATAATTACGTGAGCCTTCCAAGTATCTGCCAAGTTTGCTCCGGCTTGAACATTTTAACGTTTCAAGTAGTTCCTAGTTCCGCTAAGCCTACGTGGCGAGTATTCTAGAGAATAAAATGTTTAACCAAAATTTTTTCACATTTTTTAACTGTGTTGATATGCGTATTAAGAACTTAAAAAATAAGTTTTTAAAGTTATTGTGCCTTAATTAAATATATAATATCTATTACCAAAAGCTTTATTAATGTATACTTGTTAAAAAAGTACAATAGTCCACATTCTGTTTATATTAACAAAATAACTTCTATTGCAAAACAGTCTTCAATTAGAAAATATAGCTTTACCCAGCTCGTTGTATTCCCATTCTTCCGGTTGTCCCTTGTACGTTTGCTCCTGTTTTTGTACCTGTCGTTGGCGCTCCTTTTCCTGCTGCTGTCCGGATGCTACCACGGTGGTCCTTCGGTCCCGACCTGCCTTTTGCCTCGCCTCGGAGGCGGCACAAATTGCTCGGTAAGCGGCCTTCTTCGTGTTGGCGTAGTCCTGTTTGGCGGAGTGCATCTGCTGAGCCAGCATTTCTGCCCGCTGGCGAGCGGATTCCACAAGCTGGCTTTTCTCGTGCAACTCACTCTGGGCACCGGAAGCCGATGCCTCTGCGCTTAATACGGCTTCCTTGGCGATTTTGACCAAGTTTTGCAGCGACTGCAACAGCGACTGAGCTTGTTTGGCGGTGGCAACAGCGGCTTTAAGATGTGTCTAAAAATGAAACAACATAAAACGATTTATATTCAAGACCAAAAAGAAAACAATATAAATAAGAACACGTCTAGATCAATTCAGATGGTGATGCAAACTTCTGACTGAAACTATAATATCCTTTGTAAGGGTATACAAAACTAGTAAATAATTTAAAGCTCGTATTTTTGAAACCTCTACATTTATCCTACCTGCGAGCTGACCAACGAGTTGCTCTCCTCCTGGACGATGATCTCCGCCTCGTGGACCTCGTCCTGCAGCTGCTCGAGGAGCTGCTGCTTCCCCGCCAGCGCAGCTTCGGCGGCCTTGGCGGCTGCAATGGCCTTCTCGGCCAGCTGTTGCTTCACCTGGCGGGCGGCGGCTAAGGCGGCGGGAGCTTGGGTGTCCGAGGCCTGTTTGGCCTCCTGGGCGGCCTTCTGAGCGATGTTGGTGGCGGTCTGCTTGGAGTTGCCGAGCCGCATGCCCATTTTGCCCATTTGGTTATCGGACTGATCCAAGGACTGCTGTCTTGGCTGCGACTGCTGGCAATTGGAGGATGACTGGTAGTTGATAGAGAAGACCGTCGGGATCAAGAGCAGGTAATAGAGGAGAAGGTGGACCAGGATCGGCGACGGTGCAAGGCGCATAATTACGTGAGCCTTCCAAGTTGCTGCCAAGTTTGCCTTTTCAGCTCCGGCTTGAACATTTTTACATTTCAAGTAGTTCCTAGTTCCGCTAAGCCAACGTGGCGAGCGTTCTAGGGAGTAAAATGCTTAACAAAGTTTTTCATTTTGTTAGAAAAAGTAAAGTCTGGGCATCAGGGCCGCATAACTTTTCCGCGCAATTTAACTTAACGTCCTCGAGTTTCTCATTTTTATTTTCTTTTGTACTTTATTCACTTAGGTTTCCTTTTTTTCCTTCGCTTTTTCTTGACATGAAAAGTGGACCAACAATGCATGTGGAAACATTTTTTTAGGCTTGCTCTTGAACAGGAATTAATTGGGTCGTCAAAGTCCTTCAGCCCCGATAAGCTTTCGGCCTTATCGAAATGGCAGCCAAAGGAGGAAATCGGCAAAGAAAAACAGAGCAGCGGGAAAACCCAAGACGATTGCTCGGGTCATTTGTGCGTTGATCTGTTAATCCGAAAGGGTTTTTGCCGGCTTCCCATGACGAAAGCCCCGGCTTTTCCCTCCATTTGATTGAGGGCCCGGGAAAGCTTCGCCATTCCCCATTAAGCGGGTGAGTTTGCGAAGGCCGAGAAAAGGACCCTGGCCACAGCCACTAGGCGTATGCGTAATAAAATCAACAACTTAAGTTTTAAGCCCCCCAACACGCAACACCCACATTTCTCTCTCAATTAGAGATAGCAGATAACTTTAACAGTTTAAACTGTGTGTATATGCGGCCAGGACCACAGACCAAATTCGAGCAGAGTGTGGGCATTCAGCAAAGTCGTCCCCTGGCGCAAAAGTCCGCATTTCGGCCAGGACACACTCGTCCTTGTTCATGGACCTCGTCACTTGCATTCGCCTTTTTGCGTATTCAAGTGGCTGTGCGGAAGTGTTCCATCCCCGTTCCAATCCCCCTCCTCCTCGACATCCACATCCTTCCCCATTCAATCCCCACCCAAAAATGACACTCTGAGTGCGGAATGTGGGCGGCAAACCGCAAAAAAAAAGAGTCGCCTAGAAGAAATCGATGTGCATGAAAATTCTGCCAGCAGAATGCCTGTTTTTTCCGTGCACAGAGGAAAATGATAATGAAATAAGCAATGAATACAACAAGAAGAGTAGTTTCAAGTTTGCTAGCAGCATTAAATGCAAACTTTGAAAACAAAAACTAATATTGATTTGCTAGAACTTAAAATGTATTTGAGTGCATAGAATAAATCAACCGAAACGAACTGGAAATGCCCTGATGAGAAACAAAATACATAGTTCTTTATTAAGAAACTTTATGGAAACCGAGGAAACGAATGAAAACAAACCCATCAATTTTCAGAATGTACGGCCTTCAGGAAGAACACATAGATCAAACTCAAAGAAAACTCTTGGATCCGATGTGATTTCATTCTTATGTCTGACTCGCTTGCCACTCAAATATCCTGCCCCGATATTGCAGTGCCCCCGAGACCATCCGATGGCCCATCGGAGGAGGAAGGACCCGCCCGCAAATTCAATTTCCTCCGCAGCCAGTCAGTCCATCGAACATGTCCTGTGTCCTGTGTCCTGTGCCTTCTGTTAACTGAAAACCGAGAGCTGAGAACTGAGCACTGTGCACTGAGCACTGAGCACTGAGCACCGAGCAATGAGAACTGAAAACCAACTCGTCTATGCGGCGAGGTGGCGAAGTGCCGATGTCGTTCTGGTGTTTGGACCGCATATAGACACATATATTTGCCAGCCCTCGAGCATATATAATATTTATGCCACTGTAAGTGCTTATTGATGTCAGATCTGAAATTGAAATCTGCTTGGGCTTTTGTTCTTATTCCATGCGGATGCACATTGCAGTTAAGGCTTCGATTCGACTCGATTCGGTGCTCGTTGTTTTGTGGACTCTCAATTAAGCAAGTTGGCATTTTGACATATCTGAGCTGAAACCGAAACTTGTTCGCCGAAAAATTGGAAATTCATATATGCGTGTACAGAATACACACGAAATATTTATAAAGACACCAGACACAAGACACGGGACCCAAGAGGTTCCCACCGAGCCAAGCCGAACGAACCGGTGCCGTTGAGGCCACAGTAAAATTTAATTTTAATGCATAAGCAAATTGAATTTAAGCAACAGGAAAATTGTTCGTCTGGCCACAAAGGCGCCGCATGTGGAAGCAGAAACCACTTGCCAGGGAAACGAGAAGGCGGACTAAAACCACGCAGAGTGTTTCATGCTAAAAGTTTTCACCTGACGTCGAGGTAGAAAGAAAGCAAATTCCTTAAACCAACCACAATTACGAAAATGGGGCGCTCTCATCAAACATTTTCAAGAGTGGGACATGCTCGAAAAATTCTTAGTCTGCAAATTAGGGAAAGGATTAACCTGGCACACCGAAAAACTAATGGGAATGTTTTGGGAATGTGCAAAATTCCCCTGTGGCCATAAATTTACCAACTTATGAAACCCATTGACGAACTCATCCCTCCGTTTTACCCTTTCAAAGCAGTAATTACCCAACCTTTTGCAGTGACCCCTTTCAATTTAATTCTCGAACTATTTCTGGCTTATCATCCACACAAACTCCTCGTAGTTGATTTGGCCATCTCCATCGAAGTCGGCCTCACGGATCATTTCGTCTATCTCCTCGTCGGTGACCTTCTCGCCCAGATTAATCATCACAAAGCGGAGTTCAGCAGGTGAGATGAAGCCATCTCCATCGCGATCGAAGATCTTGAACGCCTCTCGCATTTCCTCCTCGGTGTCGGTTTCCCGCAATTGCTTGGCCATAATGGCACAGAACTCAGTGAAGTCCAACAGCCCGTTGCTGTTGTTGTCGGCATCTGTGATCAGGTCCTGCAGCTCGGCCTCCGTGGGATTCTGGCCCAAAGTGCGCATCAAGGTTCCCAGTTCGCGGGTTGTAATTTTCCCGGTGCCCTCCTTATCAAACTGAGCGAAGGCATCCTTGAACTCGGCCACCTGCTCCTCCGTCAACTCAGACATCCTTATATAATATCAGGGTTCTAGGGAATATATCTAGATGTTAACAGGGCTATAGATTGTTAGAATTTACGTGGGAGCACGTGCCGAAAGTGTTTTGAAACTGAAAGGTCAGGCTCCCAATTCGCAAAGCCTACTCAACTCCTCATGTTGTGGACATCATGTTGACAAATCGCACGTAGTCTATTTTTCCTTCAGTATCGGAATCCGCATCGCGGATGATCTCCTCCACCTCATCATCCGACATATTCTCCCCCAAATTCTTCATTATGTGACGGAACTCCGATTCGGTTATGTAACCATTGCCTTCCTTGTCGAAAACCTTAAAGGCGGCAATGATCTCCTCCTCGGGGGTCATGTTCTCGTAGATTCGAGACATGATGAAAAGGAAATCGCTGAGATACAGCTCGCCGGATCCATCAGTATCGATTTCGTTACTAATATCCTGCAGTTCCGCGTCACTCGGAAAGTGAGCCACAGATCGCATGAGCGGCCTCAATTGCTGTATGGGAATGATCTTCAGATCTTGGGTGTCGAACAGGGAGAAGGCCATCTCCAGATCCTTGAGCTGCTCGGGGGTCAGGTTGTTGGTGCGGATGATCCGCTCCTCGGGCGGCGGAGTAAAGAAGTCAAAATCCATGGCCAAAAAAGAGGTTAAGGCTGAGAAATTTTTTGGGGTCACTGCGGACTCACTACGAATTTAGGAATGTTTTGATATTGTAGATTTCATTTTGAAGTTTTAGGGAAAGTCTACGAATTGTTACTTTATTTAAAAAATAATATGCGACTTTTTCTGTAAATAAAAATACTTCAAAAAATTTTCTAAGCTTTATTCTTGAAGAAATAAAGGTATAGTCATATTATTTCATAATTTTTGTCCAATATTCCTGTCCCAAATAAAAAGGTAATTTTATAAAATCCTGCATAGTATATTCCAAAGTTCTGTGATATTCAAATATATAAGATCTGTAAATAGGTTTTGCCGTTATGTTAGAAATTGCAAATATACCTTAAGATACTCACCCTCCTTTGAAAATATAAAAAATTTTTATGTCTCCATCATCATAGTCACAAAGCGAACATAGTCAATTTTCAGCTCCGTATTGGCGTCTGCATCCCGAATCATCTCCTCGATTTCGTCTTCCTCCATTTCCTCACCCAAGTCAGTCATTATCTGACGAAACTCGTTCTCATGAATGAAGCCAGACCCGTCCTTGTCGAAGACCTTGAACGCCAGAATAACTTCATCTTCGACAGTAGAATTCTCGTAGCGCTTTGACATGATGTAACAGAAATCGCTGAGATACAGTTCGCCCGATCCATCCGTATCGATTTCGGTGATATAGTCCTGCAACTCGTTTTCCGGTGGAGTGTGGGCCAGGGCTCGCATACAATCCCTCAGATTTTTTATGGGAATGACCTTGGCGTTCTCGTCATCGAAGAGTGCGAAAGCCTCCTCACAATCCTTCAGTTGTTCGTCGTTCAGATTGTGTGTGTGAATAGTTCGCACCTCCGGTGGTGGACTGCTGAAATCAAAATCATCCATAACGAATAAAAATTGTTTTAGAAGCTACAAAATTTTGCTGTACAGTTATAATTTTTTTACAATTTCAATTCTATGTTAAAATTTTGTCTTGAACTTTAAAAATGAAAATTTACATTAAAATTTATTCAGAAATTGAACGGAATGACAACCGGAAAATAAAACTAGATCATAAATTTGGGGTTTTCAGTTTTCTCAGTGTAGGTTAATGGTAAAATTGCCGCATTGACATGGTTATACTCTTTTCAGGCGAGCACCATTTTATGACGAGGAAAAAACTCCGTGCGACCACATCCCCGTAATATAGTAACGCCCAGTAAAATATAACAGGATTTAACAGTTAAATTGTGCAACAATTTCCCGAATAATGTTTTTATAGCCTTTGGCTAGGGCTTCGAGCATTGCGGCTGTTCAAAAGCATGGGTAATTACATTTTTAATTAAATGCGACGCAGTTTGTATCGTTTTTATTTTTATTTTATTTTTATTTGTATTTTTGTTGCTGCATTTATACAACTGTTGACTATTTTTCCTGGGTAACCATTTTATGCCACTGTCGGTCCCTTGGGACATAAAATGTTTTTTTGTTGTTTCTTTTATTGGCCGTTACGGGCAAATAGGAAAATTATCCAATGCAAAATTTGGAGCAATTTGCATAATTTGGGTGCAAGTAGAGCGGGAGCCGAGTTGCACAAACCCGAATCCTTGGCCATCCTTTCTCACACGTGCACTCCCCAGTGGGGCGAACAATGGGAACTTCTTGCTAATGAGAAGCAAATCCTGGCCACGAAGGACACGAAGGATTCAGCACTGGGCCAAAGTTGAGTCACACAACAAGGCATTGTCAAGTATTTCTTGGAATGGATTAGAGTGGACCAGAGTACAGCAACAAATAGTTCAATTTGAAACGTTAGTAATACGTATTTGTTTTTAAAAAATTTATTTATTTTGTTTATGAGACTAAAATTAATTTTGTTTTTACCACAAATTAGATTTTGCCGTCCCATTGCTCATTGTTGCATTAGCATTCGTAGACAGTGCTATCAATTTGACCACAAATGTATATGATTACTCAATTGTCTGGCAAATGCAGCTCGGAATATGTTTGTTGTTTGACTTTAATCAGGCATAAACAGGACGAAAGGGCAACAGCCGAGCCGCAATCGAAATGGCACAGACCTCTGGGGGATTTGGATAATTTGCATTTCTGTAGCGAAATCAAAGGGTTTCCATGTGCAAATCTCTTAATGTGAGAGTTGAGACTCTATATGATGCTGGCTACACATCCCAGTGAGCATCCCTTTGTTGTTGTGGTGTCCTAAGCAGTTAGGCAGATGAAGTTCCCCAACCAGAAATGTTGTGGGCTAGTTCAGTATACGTTTGAGTTATCCTTTTGACCTATTAAAGTTTATAATTTCCATGTTGTTAAAGAACTCTTAATTTTTAATTGTACTTCTTTTAAAGTTCTACCAAAATTCGGTCTACCCATCCTGAGTTTCCTTTGATGAACACAAATTGCCTTTTTGGCTTCTCCCACCCGCCATTTCAATTAAGCATATGAAGACTGGGTCCGACCAATAGACACACAATGCGGTCCTGAAATCCAATTGAGTGGCCACTGGCAGCTGGAAATCACAACTATGGAGCCCAGTCGACGACCAGTTGCAAAGTAACGTCATTCAATCACGCCGGACAGCAATTGGAGTCGCAGATTTGTCTATGCCAATGCCAAAGCAAAAGCGGTTTCAATATAGGGATGGATCCCAACTGGGCAGTCGGGCCACAAGTGCAACTACGGAAATGAATTATAGCCACCGGTTGCAATCAGTTGTGGCCCACAATAGGCAATGGCATTTGTGAGGGAGGACTGAATGCCAGAGGAGTTTTCTTTTGTTTTCCGGTTTCAATCTTGTGAACTGCAGCTGTTGCTTTTCATCAATGGCCAGAGCAGTTAAGTCGGAGTCCAGCAGGCTCTTGTTTATGGATATCAGACAGCCTCTCACCTTTGGCTTTTGTATTATGGTCTATATATACATATATATGCCCGCACCTTGCGACTAAGCAAATAACGCACTTAAGCCAGACAGCAAAGAAAGAAGTGAAGAACAAACTCGGCTCGACTTGGCTCCTTGGGGTTCTTGGTTCTTGGTTCTTCGTTCGTGGGATCCCATTGCCTTTCCCTTCCTGTTTGTTTCTGTTTCACTTTGATGGCACGTGCGTGGAGTGCTTTTGAGCCCAGGTAATGCCGGCTGACTGGTTTATTCGACTGGAGTGGAAAGGCAAATATGAAAGTCAATAGCAGAATTTCGACCCGAGGCGAAGTGACGGCTGGAAGTACACCAAGTGAAAACCGACGGGAAGTCATCTTTAAACGAAGAGTTTAAGCAACTCGGTAGAACAAAAATTTGGTTGTCATAAACATCTCCTAAAAACTGAAAAGTGGATGAATAACTTAACAGAAATATTGTTTTAGTCCCAAATGAAAGCTTAGAAAATGGTTTAAAAATAAAATAAGCTTATTTTCATTAAAATTTTAAGCAGAACAGAGTTTAGAAACTTTAGGTTTATGTGAGTGCTGTCAGGAATAATTATACACTTAGCAAATAGTATTTCCCCTCCCCTTTTATTATGCTGAAAGCATCCAGAGAGCTGCAACTAATCCAAAAACTTAAAATCCAATCTCGGATATAACTTTGTTTGACTTTTGCTCGCCGCCTTGTATTTTCCCCCATTTGCCAAGATTTGCTTTGTTTGTTTTTGTGGCGCAAATTGCATTCTGTGGGTGTCAACAAACGCAGCTCTCTGGACCGCCTTCCTTTGGCCAGGACAGCATGAAACATGATTAAATTACTCATACGCCGTGTGTGCGCTTGGACAACAACTTCATGGCGATTTTGTTTTTGTGTTTGCCCTTGCCGAGCTTGCTCTCATTTAGTTAATTAAGTTTTACAACAGCTTGCCACATGCCCACAACCCTTCCGCCCCTTTAATTAGTTTTTAATTATTTCAGAGTTGAGCGTTTTCCAAAAATTTTCCGGTGGGCTTTCGGCCCAAACAAAACTGGTGGGTCTCGGCCCGTGTTGGACTTTGGCTCGGAGTTTGCTTTGAGTTTGAGTTTTAGTTAATTTTATTTGTATTTTGAAAGTATTTGCACGCCCTCTGCACCAAAAAAAAAAATAAAGTAAGCCGGAGCTTTGTTCATTTAGCACATTATTTCTACACGCTTTGTTTTTACTGCAGTTGGTTTGCTTGTTTGCTCGTTTGTTCTGGCCCGGCTAAAGTTTTGTGCAAGCCCATTAGCCTAATAGCCCGAACAGAAGTCGCCGTCGAGCCCTGTATATTCGGTATAATTAACTTTTGTTGCTAGTAAATATGAGCGGTAGAAATTCGTTAAACACATGTAACCAACTTAAAAAGAAACTAACGAATTGAGTCATTTATTTTTATTTTATGTATCGTTACATACATTTTTCCCCAAACACGTGGCTGTAAATAAAGAAATATGTATGGAAATTGATGATATTACTCGGCAGCACCGACCTTCTGCCTTTTTATAGTTTGGTCATCAGCATAACACTGATTGAAATGGGCCAGCAAACATTTCTCTTTATCAACTTGTGCATATTTAAGCGTGGCTGTAACCGGGTCTGTCTCTGTGAAAATTGGCTCAAACGAAAGCCCGTTGCTGCCGGGCAGACGAACAAACGGAATTGTGGGCGACTCGGCCTAGAACAAATATTTACACGGCTCGGTGTATGGCATTTGCCATAAACAACCGTAAAACAATAAAATTCGCAATAAACCAAATGGAAAGCGGCAACTGCCGGATCATGTGAAATGCATGCAAAGCAACAACGCAAACAAAAGCCACAATGCAGCAACAAAACAACAACAATACCAACAACAACACTGACAGGAACAACAATTCAACAACAAAGCCAAACGAAACGTTTTTCATAACTTAAATTGCAAAATGCATCGGGGGGTTAAGAGCACAGAGTAAAACAAAAGTAGTGAGGAAATAAAAGAATACTTCTGGCAGGATCGTCAAGAGAACAAAGCCGAAGAACAATGGCCAAGGAACGAGGGAAAAACTTGACTCTGATATATCCTGAAAAAACTTAAAAAGCAATTTGATTTGGCTCTGCTGGCAGATTCGCCTTATCGCCTTTATTATTGCCAGCTCCACCACGCTTTTACAAACTCCCATACAAACTTAATAAATTTAATTATGGTTACATATACAGGCTGCTGAACTTCCGTTTCCGGCTCGTCATTTAAAATGTTACGAATATCCGATTCTGCTTCATCAGTGTCCTTGAATTCATTCTCATCTGTTTCTTTCGACGGGCAACTTCCTTCGTCCAAGTCGTCATCATTCTTCCAATGATTTGAAGTTGCGGCATTACAGTCAGCTAATAAATAAATTTTAAATGTACAGATTATTCAAGCATTATGCATGTATACATGGTAAACTACATCTTTAGTTTTTGGACTTTCATGTTGAGCCACACTACTTTTAAGTTGGCTAAATAATATATAATTGAGTGACGTCTACTCACCATTTGATTGATGCTGACCCAAAAAGCCAAGAGCAAAGATAACCACAAAAGCAAACAAAGTGAACCTCATGTCGAAGTTACAGAAAGACTGTGAGACTTTAAAATTATTCTATACATTTATGGGCTCAAAATAGGTGATTCGTTTCGCTGAAACTGGAACCGATTGAGATATTTCCTCGATTTCCTCGATTTCTATGCGGTGTAAACTTCTTTCAAACTTTGCGTAAACTGCATAATCTGGTTAGCCTTCTGCCTGGCAACACTCTATTTTTAGCCGCTCATCTTGATGCTGATTTATCTGTAATCCAACTTGCGTTTCAGCCACTTAAGGCCACAATCTGCCTTTTGCCACTTGGCAACTTCCCGGCCCCCTCGGGTTACAGGTGGCTTTGTAACAAACTTAGTTCAATAAAGTTTGCCCTCTTGTGCGCTTTGATCAGCGCATCACATGCGTCTAAGTGGCTTTCGCTTTCCCTTTCAGCCAACACTTTTAAAGCCATTTTCATTCTGGCCTCGCAGCCAGGGCAACATATTCCGACTTAGCGGCTTTTCTGGCAATCTCTTTGAAGTGGGCTCCGGATTGAAGCCCTCTCGTCGGGAGTAGCAACTGTATCAGCTGTTTGTATTTAGGTCCTTTAATTTATTGCCTGTCAGGCTGCTGGTCACTACGGTTGATAAACGGCCTAAGCCGTTGGCCAGGATTTTCCTCTTTCATTTGGCTGCTTATTCGACATTCAATAATATCCTTTGGTAGGAGATGCACCTTAAAAAAAAATCTTCTTCTAGCTACACAAATTTGTTGGAGTTGTAAATTCATTGCTCGTTTGAATACACAAATACCAAACAATATTAATTACATAAAAAAGTATTATTAATAATGTAGTATTTTAATACAATTGTACTATTACTGATATTCCCGCTGTGTATTTTCTCTATATTTTCCCTGTGGCAGCTTTCCTGGTGAAACTTGCTTGCCTCGGCAGAAATTAAAGGCATGAAGGTTTGTTCCCATATATATAGTAAGTAGGAAGTTGTTAGTTGCTGGCAACATGGGAAACAGCAGCGTGTGCAACAGCAACGTGCAACTTGTAGTGCACTTGTTGTTGCTGTTGTCGAGTGCACGACGCCGTATGCAATTATCACCCGAAAAAATACTACAGGGCCAAGAGTGCTCCTCCCGGTCACAGGTAGCAAAAATAAAAGGGTGCAAAATAAAACTACTACTAGCTGCAAATTCTCGCAACATTATGTGCTCGAAATGTAAATGTCATTTGTGCGCCGAGCACATGGGGCAACAACAGGCGGAGCCAAGTGTTGCAACATTTGAGAAATGTGTGTTGCCAGTGAAGTGGCACCAGGACGACCCGGACAACCAGGACAACCAGTACAACCAGGACACGGTCCGCAGTCCACTAGCCCACACTCTCTCTGAATAAATGTTAAAACACAATCGAGGGCCGTAAATTCTGAGCAGTCATCGGCTGAAATAGGTGTAAGAAAAGGCAAGTCGAGGGAAAACTAGGGAATAGAAAGGAAAACACAAAGGAAAATAGGGGAAACGGAAAAATCCATCCGGAGGGAACAATGGCCCCGGGAAAGTGTGTCTGTCACGAGGCAAAAGCATGAAACAATGCAGAGGAGGAAGGTCTAATTGGTATAATAAAATGTCATAAGGCGAGAGAGCAATGCAGCAGGTTCTGTCTCCGATAATTCGCCAGGGACAAAGGAAGGAAATAACTCCATTGAAAATGTCGCCTGATGGGACAAATCCGATTGATTGCAGCCACTACATATTGATTTGGCCCCGATTAGACAGCTCGGCTCCAACGAGGTAATTTAGCCCATCGAGACAAAGAGATTTCAATCAATTAAAGATAATTTCACAACAGCTACGTTTTCTTCGAACATCTCACTTGACAGAGCGGAAAGTAAAATGTTTAAAGGGGAAAAATTAAAATGAGACTATGAGATACCCTGCATTAAAATTATTATATATTTAATTGAAGGTATCAAGTATTGAGTACGGACCGTGTACTGATTTTTAGGAATTAATACCAATCAAAAGAACCTTATTTTACATTTTTTTATTTTAAAAGCTTTATCTATCGAAAAAAGCGAATAGAGTACAAGGCACCCATTAAATATATACACAAAAAAGCGGGAAATGATTACTCTAACTGGCAGCAGCCACTAAACCCCTAGGCCACGCCCCCAACCGCCCATATATCAACTGTCGATGGCTATAAAGCTGCGCATCTTCGCATCTGCTGGTGCTCCATTCCAGCAGCGCGAGTGTACAATCAACAAAATTAGTTTCATTTGGCCAAATGGCATGGCTAGCAGTCGCAGCATTTCGACCCACATAACAGACTGGGCTTAGATTGGAATTTAGGAGGGGTCCTCACCTCGGTGAGAAATTGCGAAGAAGATACCCATCCCCCTACGCCATCGTATGTATAGTATATACAAGGATATGTAGTAAAGTATATCCCTGCTTTTGATGGCTCGTCCTCGCTTTTGATCTTCCCCGACTGCTGATAAATGATAAGATGCCGGAGCTGAAAGAAAAATGCTGCAAAGTGTAGAAAATTACGCCGCAGGTGTGTGGCGGCCCATCAGCTTCAACGTGCTACTTCGAGGATACTGCCGAGCAAATAATTAAAAATCCCTCAATCTTTAAAAGAAAATGTAATTCAAAAGAAAACCTCAATGGCCGCTGCTGGACTGCCACAAAAGTAAGCCATTGCCAATTAGCCAGAATATACAAAAAAAAAAAAAGGGAAGGAGGGCGAGCAAATCTTTCTAACCTGTAAAAACCACCGCAGTCTGGTGTCCGGGAAAATGGCGACCCACTGTAAACTAAGGGAAAATGGCTGCGAGAAAAGGGGAAAACTGTCTGTCAACCTACGGCCATAAATAATGGCCAGCTGCTGGCTGCTGGCGGTAATTTATAAATCTGTTTATTGTAACATCCTGTGCCTCGCGACTGTAATTTATGTATCTGGAATCTAGTTAAGCTGGTGGAAAATCAGCTAATGAGCGTCCGATTGCAGCTCTGCTGAGTTGAAGAATACTTGCGGAAAATCCCGTATTACAATATGTGCACGGGAGATCCTGCTCGACGAAATAAAGCTCCCTTGTCCTGCTGTCTTGTTTTCCCTTTCGTGTTTACACAAAGTTTTCTGTTGGCTACGTTTTGGTCAACTGACTGTCAATATTTTATTGGCTGCATTTCGCTTTTTATATTGCATCCAGCACAAACACATACATCTACACCTTTTAGCGCAATGGGGCTGACGTATATATATAAATATAAATATACGAACCCACAGAAAGGAATATTCCCAGAACCGACCAAATGCGCAATTTAATTTATGTCATGAAAAAACGGTTGAAAAAATGTGGGCAAGCAAAGAAAGGCAAAAATACTCGTAAATACACGACGTCCAATGACGCGATAAACGACATAACGTTGGCCAGGATATTTTTACGTTTCGGAATATTTTAAGTAGCTTAATGGCAATATTGTGATTTTTAATTTAAAAAAGTCCAAAAAATATATTTAAATTTGTATAACAAAGCAGAAAACTTTAAGCATTAAAGTGCCAGTACAAATTAAATGAGCTTTTCCACACATTTGCTTTTTTTCAATTCTCTCTCAGATTTCCCTTTTTTTCCGTTTTGTGTTTATATTTGTTTTCTAATTGTACCTTTTACAGTAATTAAATGAAATATATATTCTTTTTTCACTCAGTGGTCCCACAGTTTAAAGCAATTTAATTTTTTCGTTTCGTTTTCTTTTCACGAATTTTCCGGGTTTTCTTTCGGTTTTGCATTATCTTTCACTCTTTTGGCGAGTGCATTGCCACTTCGATGCCCCTCGTTTCGTGAGTCCTTCGTCCTCGGTTTCCATCAACACTCTCGTCATTTCTTTTGTTTTTGTATTTTTTTTATGTGTTTTTAGTCATGTCATTCAGAAGGGTTCTTCTTTATCACCCACTCCTCCAGATCCGACCCTACTTTTTTTATGTGCTCCCATTGTTCTTTTTGGATGGCGGGAAAATAGGAGGATGGGACTGAAGCACTTTTATGTGATGGTACCCCGGTTGCAGCTTCTGTTTTACATTGGCATACATATTTGCATTTTTTCGAATGCTTTACAACCCTTTAACCATCCTTTTTCCCCTGCCTGTTTTTTCCCAGTTTCCCGATGCTTGTTTTAATTTCTTTGGCCAGGGTTTTGTTCCTGTTTCCCCAATTTTTTCATTTGTCGGTTGGGCAGGGTTTCGATGACAGCAGTGCAAACTCCTTTTCGCTCCCCGCCCATCGAAGCTGCATTTCAATTCAATTGAATCGTCAGCGTTTTGCAGTGAAAAATGTGTCATAAAATGTTGGCTCGTTAGGGTTTCAATTTGTGTAAAATGTATTTTTGGCAGGGCCAAGTTTTTATAGTCGAAAATGTAAATTTGCTGATTAAGTATTCAAAATGGATGAAAAAAGAAAATCGTTTTTAAAATTGCATTAATTCGCTTATGTGTTTACCTTTTCACTTAACTCATAAATGAATTAGTTGGCCAAATGTAAACAACAGTTTCAACAGTTTTATAGAGTTCTTTAGCAGCTATTGTTTGTTGGCTCTTATTTCCAGTTTTTTGCAATTGCCCTTCAGACCCACTCAGTGCTCAATTAATTTATAATTTAAATGCACATTGTGTGGCTTAATTATGCTCATTATGGAGTCATCGCCGGCATTGTTCGCCGCCTGTCATGAAAGTTGGTCGGATTGGTGTTACAGCAGAAATAATTAATGTTTTTATTGGCGGAGTGGTGGGAAAGCGATTATCTATAGCCCTGCATTGGCCTGTCAGTTATTGGCCAACTTTCCCGGGCGAAACTTTCAAGCAATTGAACACCGAACAAACTTCCACACAAATCCCAAGTGCAGCTGTCAAATCTTCTCTCCCCCAAAATCGACAGCGAAAATTCTGTCTCGCAAAAAGTGGGTAAAAAAAAATGGCAAACCAAGTGTCAAGTTGAAATAAACTTTAAGACAGACTTGACACATTGCCAGTTGCTCGCATCTGGCTCACAAC